ACGATAAGTTTGGGAACCAATTGTGTTAAAAACTCTTGCAATTTTCATATTGTCTTTTTAACTAGTTGAACTCCACATGCAGGTGGGGGAGTAATCCTTGTTTTAATTTTTAATTATCGTCTTATTATTAAAAACCTATAAAATCAAAATATAAAATCTCAAAAAGGAAAAAATGAAAAAATAAAATAAAATTTTAGGGCAAGAGAAATTGAAATGAAAAAAATAAATTTCACGACAAAAGTAAAAAAAAAAGTCAAAAAAGGACTCAAAAGAATAAATAATTAAATTTTAAGGTAAAAGAAACCAAAATGAAAAATTGAAACTTCAAGGACAAAAATTTAAAAAGATCAAAAAAGACTAAAATGAGTAAATAAATAAGTTTTGGGACAAATAGAAGCAAAATAGAAAAATAAAGTTTCAGGAAGGGGCCAAAACAAAGAAATAAACAAGTTTCATGAGAAAAGTAACCGAAACAAAAAAGTGTAAAAAATGACTAAAATGATAAATAAATAAGTTTTAAGACAAAAGAAGTAAAAATAAAAAAAAATAAAATAAAACTTCAGAAAAAAATGAAAGAAGGAGTAAAAAAGGCCAAATTTCAAGATAAAAATAAAAAACTAATAAAAATGACTAAAATAAAGAAAGAAAGAAATTTTAAAATAAAAGGCAAAAAAGAAAAGAAATGACTGAAAAAAGAAAGAGATAGGCTCGTTCACTTCACTGATTCGAGTTTTACTAAAGTGAAAAACTCTCATAAACAATCACATCTAACTTTTTGACTATAGTAAAAAGCTCTCATATAAAATTATATCTCAACTCGAATTAAAAACTCGAATCAACGAACTAAACAGAAAAATAATTTATGCCGGCAAAGTATCATGACACTTTTTTATATAGATGGATTTTTTTTGTTTTTTTGTACAGTTGTTAATCGTTGATCGTAATCTTGTGTTGCATAATAGGTTTATACTGCTCTTATTGTTTACATATTTTATTTATGTTTATTAATATCGCATATTGTGTTATGCTCAAAATAATCAATAATGCAATAGTTGGGTAGATTTTTTTTTTTTTTAAATGTCTGACTCTCAACATCTAAACAAAAACGATTGCTCAACCATCACCCCTCCACCCCATCCGTCAAAACCTTCTCACCCGCTAACAATAACGCGTGAATTATTTTATTTTTTTGGTGTTTTGAAAATTTTCTTTCCTCTAACTTGCACACTCAACCCGTCAACTTGTTGAAGTTGTCTATTAAACATTCTACTATTAGCATTTCCAATTCAATTTTTGCTTTTATTTTTATTTTTTATTTTGAAGTGAAAGGATTCACACACTAGTGTGTTTGATCGGGGAAAAAGATGGAGGGAGGAGAAAGGTTGAGGGGGAAATCCAACCTCTTGTTTGGTTGGAGGAAATGGAAGAGAGAAAGGAAAGATAGAGGGACGAACTTTTTTTATATTCACAAAATATGTTTCTTTCAAAGGAAAAAAAAAAGAGAAATACTCTTTAAAATACATGTGTCCGGATTCTTATCATTATTTTTTATTAATATCATTTTTTAAATAACTATATTAATTAAAAAAATATTAATATAAGAATAAAAGGTATAAATTCAAATCCATATACTCTAAAAATAAGTTCAACAATTTTTTCTTTTTCTTTTCCAATCATGCAAAATCCACCAAATCCATCACAGTTGATTTAAAAAAGAAGATGAGAGTTAAGAACTACCTTTTTATAATAATCATGTTTCTATTATCGATCTCCTAATTATAACTGACATTTTATTAAAAAATATTAACTTCAACTAATTAAAACAAAGGATCAATCAATATTGAACACAAGGGTAAAATTGATTTCATATTAATTTTTAAAAGGTCAAAGCTAAAAAAATTTCTTAAAAGAATTATTAATAGCATAGAAAAATTTGACCAACCCGTCTCTTTTTATCTGTTAAGCTTTCTTTTTGAGTGCCCTTCTCTTAGTCCGACAACGGCGCTCTATTAGCCCTCAGATTTTGCATGGAACTCTGAATTCCACATTGAAGGATTTGGAGGTAGGCATGACCTCGTTGTTGGATGGATTTGGTTTTGGCAAGGTGGATGTGGGGAGTTGCCAGCCTAACGTAGTGGTGCTCCATCTGTTGTGATTTCGGCTCCTCGTGGCGCTACGTTTTTCGGCCTCTTTGGTGGCGCGTATCAATTTGTCTTTGGTGATTCTTTTCATATTTGTTAGGTCCGTTTTTATCCTAGTGTTGCAATACTTTACTGTAACACTGTTTTTAACAGTAAATCTGAAATTAAACCAGCAAGACAAAATGCAGGAAAATAATGCAGGAATGTAAAGAACACTAAAAAATGGTATCGCAGTTTGGTGCACACACTTACTCTGCGGGGCCATGCCTAGACAATGAACAATCAACTAAGTTCAAATGATTACAAACACTAATCGGACTTATACACCCAAAGACTCCCTCCTTGACGTTGTCGCCGTTGTGTCGAATCTCCTTAATGGCCTTGTCCAGCGAGTACCACTCGTCTTCAAACTGCACGGCGAAATTTCTTCGGCTGGCAGTGCGCTTTCTCCCGAAAGCTTCTAATCCTTCTCCCGAAGGACGATATTCAATCAACACATAAAGACTCACTCTCACATAGACTTTTTCTGAATATTTCTTCTATAAAACCCATGCCCCAAATGTATCCTTTGATTACCCAATATTTTTTTTCAAGGGGACAAAAAATTCACGCATGCCACTTATGTATATATAGTAAAGTTGCTCATGTGCCTATCCAGATTTTTCTGTTTTCAGCCCTGTATCCCCACACCACGTTTTGCCTCTGTCTTTTGTTTTTTTTTTTTTGCCGTTGCACCTCTAATTCAAAAAGCTCCTCAAGCTTGAAGATTTGTCAGCCATTAATTCTCCCAAAAGTCCACTCTTCATTTTCAGCAATTAAATCCTTTGATTTGTAGTTCATAAACATGACAATAAGACTTTTCTTAAGAGATCTACTAATTTAAAATACCAACCAATCTTATAACTAATTTGTTAAAAATAAGCCAATAAAAAGTGCACTAACAATATTGCTAATGTTTCGTTTTCATTTTGTAGTATATGGTTGTGTCAAATAAAGATGATGTTGTTTTCGCTTTGTATGTTTTTTATTTTGTGGTTTTGTTTTTGTTTCGAGTATGTAACAATGAAGGTAGTCTCCGATCTTTCGTGATTACATGTGGTGGGCCAAATTTAGTCCTAGTAGTGTTTTGGTTCCACTAGATTTGTGTTTATGCTGAAGTCGTGTTTAACATATTTAAAAAAAATATATATTTATTGTTTTAATTTGATACTGAATTGGAGATAATTTATATATTAATTAGAACACACAAAAAGAAAATATTTAATTCGTAAATTTAAAATCATAATTTATAATTTTAATTTTTAAAATTTTAATTTTTTATTAAAAAAATATTATAACATATTAAAAATTATGATTCAAATAGCCAGAATCCTCGAAATAAACAAGGATATATTAAAAATGAAAGATGTCCGGGAATATGACCGTTGAATCCAGCTGCAACGCCACGTCAGCAGCAGAGTGGTGGTCTGGTCTCCTCGTAGATCGCAATTGGCATTCTCTCTCTCCTCTCTCTAGTTGAAACTTTAGGCCTTAAAAACCCCAAACAAACAAATGTCGTTTAAACCCAAAGCCTAATTTTAGCCCTCAACTTGTCCTCTGCGGTGGACCTCACTCACTTACCATGCTCACCCTTCACTGCATGCCAATATCAACCGTCGGATCTCTGACAACTACCCTAGATTGATCCGACTCCGGTTCAAACAAAAACCCACCTCTCTTTTTTAACTAAAACCCCCCTTGCTCAGCTTCCCACCCACGCCACATTTCTACAGACTGAGAGAGACCAACCTCAAAAGGAGCTCCCTTTTTCAATCTCTCTCTCTCTCTCTCTCTAGTTCTTGGTTGCTTTATTTTTCCCTTTTGTTTTTGGTCCACCTTTCACTCGGCTTTGATAGTTCAGAGTTCTTTCTGGAGTTTCTTTGGGGGTTCATTTTTTTTTATTTTTTATAATGTGGTTTCTGGAAAACTGAGGAATATTTGAACTTGAAGTGCCTTTTCCATGGCTTCTCTGCTTCTCTTTCTCTTTCTGGCATTTTCTGTTGTTTCTGCCGATGAAGGTGAGTTTCCTTTGACATTTGTCTCCATTTTTATGGCTTTTGGGTATTTTATCTGTTATGTAATCTGAAACTTAAAGCTTTTCCATACGCTCATTGCTTGTTTCTATCTTTTTATATATTGGCTTAAAACAGCTAAAATTCTCACGTTTTCTTCTCAAGTTTGCATCTTTTGTGTGCTCAAATCTGTTTCCCAAATGGGGTTTGTTTATATTCTTCTGGGCATTGCTATAATCTGTAAAAAACGAAGAAGAGTTTCTTGGATCTCTGTTAGCTTTCCCCTTTTCTGCTTTATTTTTCTCCCAACAATGTTTGTTGCCCTTACTTTTTAGTGTTCTTGACTTCTTGTCTTGAAGCATTATTATGATTCTTTGTTGTTGGATTTTTGGTCATTTGTTAGATGTACATTTTAGATAGGTCTAGAGAATAATAGGACGCTTATTTGCTAATGCGGGAGAAGGAAGGGCGATGCTAATTTCTTATTTTGACCCCAAATATTTAGTTTCTGAAGAAAATCTCTCTGGTGAAGATTTCGAATCTAACCTCAGCCATTCTTTAATGGGAATCAAAGCCTATTGCGTCCCAGCTCATCTGGCAGAGTCCTTTACCATCTCAAACTAAAAATTTTCCATGAAAATCTCCAAAATATTATGCGACCAAATTACCCTTCCCTTTTGGTGCATATAAGTATAAGATCTGAGAATCTATCTCCGAGGTTATTGTTGTCATTTTGGACTCTCAAGTTAGGAAAAAACCATATTGTACAGTTGGCCCACATACTGAACTTCACCCCCAGGAGTTCATATTCCCAGATACCCCTCCACTCATTGAAGAGTAATTTTGAAAACTTGTTGCAGAATCTATGACCCCTCCACTCATTGAAGAGTAATTTTGAAAACTTGTTGCAGAATCTATGACCCCTCCACTCATTGAAGAGTAATTTTGAAAACTTGTTGCAGAATCTATGACCCCTCCACTCATTGAAGAGTAATTTTGAAAACTTGTTGCAGAATCTATGTAGTTTTATAATACTATAGTAGTTGATGTGTTAAGAAAAAAATAAATAAGAACTTGTTGGTGATGTTATTTAGATGCATATTTTTTGATGGAATATTTAGATGCATTGTGATATGCGAAATTATAATCAGCAATGCCACGTTGCCTTATGTTTCACCTACCTGCTGATTGTCATTTATTAGGGTGATTATTCTTTGCTGAAATGAATTAATGATTCTGTCATTTACTGAAATATTTGTCTCTCTCTGAGAGAGTGAGAGTAGAGGGAGTAGGGCCCACATAAGATATGTTGTATGAATGTTAAGTTACGCTAAAACAATAATCATTTTTCTTAATTCACCGGGGCCACCTACAATTAGTGTTTACTGGGGGAGCTATTTTGTGTTACTTCAAATATTAGATTTGGTGTTTTAGAAAGCAAGGGCTAAGCTGTCATTTTTCCTTTGATGGTTTCTTCTGCTTCAAACTCTTGATAGCAAGGGCTAAGCTGTCATTTTTCCTTTGATGGTTTCTTCTGCTTCAAACTCTTGATAGCAAGGGCTAAGCTGTCATTTTTCCTTTGATGGTTTCTTCTGCTTCAAACTCTTGATATGCTTTATAATGAGCCATGTACGAAAAGCTATGAGGAGCTTTTCAGACAGTATTATTAAGAAAAATAGTAACGTGGACCAGCTTTCTTAGATCCTTCTGTTTATTGGTATTTTCCCATTTAGGACTTAGTAGTTGCCACATGACATTAGTGTCCCATCACAGGCTGTTTGTTCTTTATCATTTTGGACCTCTTCCTCAGAGGAGGAATATAAAAATATTCTGATACAGCTCAGTAGGTAAATTTGGTATTAAAAAGAAAAACTTGAATTCACATTTTGGTAGAGAATATATAGAAAAAGAGTTACAACTTAAGTGGCATCTATCTGATGTATCCAATACTAGATTGTTTTTTTTTTTGCATGCGTATGTCATCGCGTTTATTTTGAAGATGTGACATGTTCTGATTTAGAAAGACAAAAAGCTTGTTCTCAACTTAATTTTTGACGTTTTGCAGATGCTTTCATTGGTGTAAACATCGGTACAGACCTCTCTAGCATGCCAAGCCCGACTCAGGTTGTGGCCCTTCTTAAGACTCAGAATATTCGACATGTGAGACTTTTTGATGCAGACCGAGCTATGCTTCTTGCGCTTGCAAACACAGGCATACAGGTGATAGTGTCTGTTCCCAATGAGCAGCTCCTTGGGATTGGTCAGTCCAATGCCACTGCAGCCAACTGGGTTGCTCGTAATGTGGTCGCACATGTCCCTGCCACCAACATCACAGCCATAGCTGTTGGATCTGAAGTCCTATCGGCCCTCCCAAATGCCGGTCCAATCCTAGTATCTGCTTTAAAATTCATTCACTCTGCCCTTGTTGCTGCTAATCTTGATCGCCAAATCAAAGTCTCTACTCCACACTCTTCCTCCATCATACTCGACTCCTTTCCTCCTTCCCAAGCTTTCTTCAACCGCACATGGGACCCCGTTATGGTCCCCTTGCTCAAGTTTTTGCAGTCAACAGGCTCATACCTTATGCTCAATGTCTACCCCTATTATGATTACATGCAATCAAATGGTGTGATCCCGTTGGACTATGCACTATTCCGTCCCCTTCCTCCAACCAAAGAAGCTGTGGATGCTAATACTCTCCTTCATTACACTAATGTCTTTGAAGCTGTTGTTGACGCAGCTTATTTTGCGATGTCCTATCTGAACATTACCAATATACCCATTGTAGTGACTGAATCAGGATGGCCCTCCAAGGGTGACTCGTCCGAGCCAGATGCCACGCTTGAAAATGCCAACACTTATAACAGTAACTTGATTAGACATGTGCTTAACAACACGGGGACGCCAAAACATCCTGGGATTGCTGTTAGTACTTACATATATGAGCTTTACAATGAGGATTTGAGACCTGGTTCTGTCTCGGAAAAGAACTGGGGACTATTTGATGCTAATGGAGAGCCGGTGTATATTTTGCATTTGACTGGCGCTGGAACTGTGCTGGCAAATGACACTACAAATCAGACTTTCTGTGTTGCAAAGGATGGTGCTGATCGGAAGATGCTACAGGCAGCGTTGGATTGGGCGTGTGGACCAGGAAAAGTTGATTGTTCACCTTTGTTACAGGGCCAGCCATGTTATCAACCAGATAATGTGGTTGCACACTCAACGTATGCTTTCAATGCTTATTTTCAGAAGATGACCAAGTCTCCTGGAACATGTGATTTTAAAGGAGTGGCAACCATCACTACCACAGACCCAAGTATGGCATTACAGCACAATTGCTTTTCTGATATCATATTTCAAGTAGATAAATAAACCATTGCAATTATTTACGAATTGGTTTTTTTTTGTTTTTTTGTTTTTTTTTTTTTGTTTTTTTGTTTCTGTTTTGTTTTGTTTGTTTGTTTGTTTTTTTTCGGTGGAGGTGCACATGGTCACAATTATCTTACATGTGATTTTCTAAGATCAGATGATGTCATAATGCGGTGGTTATATTAGTTGATAGTTGCTATACAGTTGGGTTCTAACCTTTAGGACAGAGATATGGATGGATCCGAAGTGTACTACTTCTATTCTTACTTGGTTACTATGCAATAACTAATGTTTTTGTTTTGATTCTTGCAGGTCATGGTTCTTGTATTTTCCCAGGAAGGTACGTGTCAAAGCTTTTAAAATTGGCACTGTCGTCTTTGCTGTCAATGGCTGATATTTTCATGTCATGGCTACTTGACTTGTGATTTTTTTACTATATCTTTCTTGACTTGCATTCATGTCTTTTGTTGGCCATATTGGAAGCCATGAATAATAATACTCTACTTTTGTTCTGTCCATGTAGTGCTGGAAGAAATGCAACTGTCGTGAATGGCACGTCACGTGCTCCATCTTCAAATTCTACAAGTTCTGGCTGCGATTCACAATATATCCACCATGGTAGTTCATTTACATTCACAAGCTCTGTGATTATTGGTGTTGTAGTTCTAAGTGTGGTTTTCTTGTGAAACTACATGTACTCGTAATTGTGCGACTCTTTTGATCGCAGTAGGAATCTTTAGAAACATTCTGTTTCGCAGCTGTTGTAAAACTTGCATTCATAACCCAATTTTGTGTGCCCCGTCGGTGGGGAGTTGAGGGGTGGCATGCTTGAGGACGTATACAGTCATCCAGCTAGCAGTTGTGAGGTATCTGTACAAAAAGACCGAAGGAATTGTTTCGGTTTTGATTCTGTAACTATCTCTGTAGGGTGAGATTTGATTTCAACAGTTGTATTCTTTGAACTGAACTGTAATGTACCATTTTCTTTGCAAAAATTGATCTCATTCTTGTCTTGTTGCTTTGTCCTAACAATTGCCCGCTTCTTTCTGTTCTTATACTTAATATTGCAGTGCCTTTCAGCAGTGGAGAAGCAATCTATTGGAAATGCCAATTTTGTGCGCGGGCGTGTGTGTGTGTGTGTTTTTTTTTTTTTTTTCAAAGTCACAAAATGTTTATGTTAAATCCTCCAAAAACGCATGTAGAGTTGTCAAATGGCCGGATCGTTAGCTCGTAACAGTACTAGATTCAGCATGGCCTGGTATGGTATTGTTACGGGCCGTGCCGGCCCGGCACGTTTGATGGGCTAGGGTTGGGCCACGGCTTCTCAGCTAGCGGCCCAGCCCAAGTCCGGATTCGGCCCGGCCCAGACCCGGGAAACGGTCTGCCAAAAAGCCCTCTAGCCTGTGAGGATTGTGACCGTTGGGTCCTTCGCAGGCTCAACGGTCACAATCCAAAAAAATCTCCCAAAATCCCTTATACCCACTAATCCCACACAAGTCACTCTCAATTTCTCATCTCACTCTCATTCTATCTCTCATCTTGTCTCTTTGATTTTGATTCTAAGCTTTTCTCTCGCGATCACTCATTTTCTTGCTCTTTCATTTACAAAGTTTAAGTTCAATCAATTTCCAAAAAATGGCCGCATCAAACTTTCCTGATTTCACTGCTCTCCTTGAGTTTGGTGATGAGTTATTTTTCGAGGATGAAATGATGGTTCAGAACCCCACCTCCACTGAACCGAAAAATGCTTCGATTGATAATGCTTCAGTGCACAATGAGGAAGTTGGAGAACGCAGCAGGAAAAAAAGACCGCAAACTTTTCCTGCATGACAGCATTTCACAGAGGAGTCCCGACCAAATCTAAAAACAGGTGAAATAGAAATTCGTGCAGTATGTAAGTATTGTCAAAATCACTTTTTTAATATTTTGAAGTAAATTTTGTAATCGATGACGACAAACTAGACATCTTACAGTGGTGGAAGAGCAAAATCAATCATTTTTCAACAGTCTATAATAGCTCGTGACATTCTGACAACTCCAGTGTCAACGATAGCATCGGAGCAAGCATTTAGTGTAAACAACTGAATTCTTGATGAGAAGAGAAGCATAATGCATCCAGATATCTTAGAGGGGCTAATGTGCGTTAAAGACTGAGAAGATGTCAGAAGACGAAAATAACAATATACGGATGAGTCAATGCAAGACTATTTTTCTAACCTAAAAATAACATAATCTTCTGGAAGCACTTAGGTTTTGTAATTTACTTATCTTAGAATACTACACTCTTTTTTTCTTTGCTAAGGTTTTGTCATGATCTCCCCATAGGTTTTACTTGGCAAGGTTTTTAACGAGTCAGTCATTTATATGTACTTATTTGTATTTTCTCAATTCAATAAAATCACATCTTTTAGAGGCATATGATATATTTTCTTTTTTTTAATTAAATTTTACAAAAAACATTACAAGGGCTAGGGCTGACCCGTGAAGGGCCTGGGCCCAGGTCCGGCCTTGGCCCTTATGTACTAGGGCTGCGGGCCAGTTCTGAGCTTGAGAGTTTCTCCTCAAGCCCGGCCTAGGCCCTGGCACGGCCTAAGCTCGCCACGGGCCTGGAGTCGGATGTGCTGTGCCGGCCCGGTACGTCATGTTTGACAACTCTAAACATATGTCTATAGTGTTTGTGTTGGAAAATACGACATCGAGTGCGCAACATAATTTTTAAAAAATTAAATCAATGCCAAAGCCAATCAAGAACATGTTCATGATGCTATATAACATAAATACTAAAGATCTAAATCATACGTTTTTTAGATTTAAAAAACTGCACGTCTAACAGATCAAAGTGTTCCAAACAGCAACCGGAAGAGCCTCAACCAACTGGTCTTCTTTGCTATTCTCGTTTCCATGATCGGAGTGCGGGTGGACACACGTCGTTCAATCTCCTCTTGGTATTCTTGAACTCCTTCCAATCACAAGAGAGCTAATGGAAAAATCGTTCTTGAGAATTTAACAAGTTTTCCTCTCAGGAATCTTTTGCCAATAGCCCCCAAAAAGTCTCTCAAGTGATCTAATGAATAATGTGACTTAATGGGCTATTTATAGTGTTTAGGAAGTCATATTTCCGTAACAATTAAGTTTCCAAAAGTTTATCTCGCTTACAGAGTTAGTTTCGCCACGTCAGCACGCGCTACACGTTACAATCGATCGACCGGTGATAGAGACGTTATAACTCACCGGTCGACCTGTCCTTCATGAACCGGTCTACCGGACCGGTCGACCTGTCTGCACTAACGAAACTTATTTTTCTAGTTTTTCAACACTGAAAACTTGCATAGAGCCTCAATTTTGATTCAAGCAACCCAATAGAAAAGTTGTCTGATCAAAATAGTCATATAATAGTGTTCCTATATTAAACAACTCTTAAAATAATAATTCAACTAATTTATCTAGAATTAATTTATCAATTGATTCACCCGATAAATCACTCATGAATTAACCAATCTCATATTAACTTTGAACATCTTTTACGGAAATAACACAAGTTACCAATATATAGGAAATACACCTCATCGTTACAGGAAATTATGTGAGCTAGGAAAGGGACCTGATGGACATCTATACATCAAGCTCCTATAATCACAACGCAACTTGTAAACCAACAAGTCCGTTTCATGATTATAAAACTCCAGCGCCACTCCACTAAAAGACTAGAGCTGCACTCTTGATTTATACGGCGTATTTACAAAACTCTGAATAGCTCTCGTCCATAACTAAATATATTAGTGTATCATCCCCATATGATATCCATAATCGACTTGAGGTCAAGTTCCGTTTTATCTTCCCGATTACATTTATCTTAAGTTCCATTATCACACCATCGAAAACCACTATTCGTACCATTACAAATAGTAAACCATTAGATAACACAGAGTAATTTAATGGCCGAGCGCTCGTATTTTCCAATCCACAGATAATGCATAAGAGGATATCATTGACTCTTTGTAGGAGCTATGTATTCCACTTTTTATGAATAACGAATCTATGCATACACGAGTCATACCCTAAATGTACCGGTAAGCGTACCTTTACGACCACTATTCGTACCATTACAAATAGTAAACCATTAGATAACACAGAGTAATTTAATGGCCGAGCGCTCGTATTTTCCAATCCACAGATAATGCATAAGAGGATATCATTGACTCTTTGTAGGAGCTATGTATTCCACTTTTTATGAATAACGAATCTATGCATACACGAGTCATACCCTAAATGTACCGGTAAGCGTACCTTTACGTAATGTCAGGATGTCTCCCTTTGGTACATCAAAAGATACAAGTCAAGCATACGGGTTCATTATCCATCTCAGGATTAAGATGACAACATATAATTCGTCAAAAGTGAATTATTTTATTCAAACAGAATTATTAATTAAAACAATTCAACTTTGGTCTGATCTAATATAGATTTCACCATTAGAAGCTATATCAATGTCTCTACCCATGGAGTCCCACCTCCGACGATCAAGGCAAGCCGTCTCTGTTAGGAAGTAGACAACATAACAATCTTAACATGAATAAAGCGCCAAACTTTATTCCCTCGATTGTGGATCATATGATTTAGACTATCATATCTTTAGATTCCAGTCTTCCGCATGTTCTTTTCATTACATGCATAACCAAAAGATTTAGAATGCCAGTCTCAGACTTTCAGTTTGTTTATCATATATTCAACTAATATGAACATAAAGAAGACTATACATAGATATATGAAATAAATAAATCTTTATTAATAGTCAAAATGTTTGAAAAAACATCGCTATATTTATTCTTAAGGACAAATGCTAACAGTTTGTTCTTTTTTTGAGTAGAAGGTGTCAATACTGCCTCGTACTTAAAAATGAGAGGACTCCGTGACTGTAATTAAGAAAAAACAAGGAAAAAAAAAGCATGCATACAGTCAGATCGACATCAAAAGTCAATCGATTAAAAAAGATTACGTAGCTTAAAAGTCTAGCAGTTCAGAAGTATGATTACTATGATTACCAACATGAATGACTCTTGTTTCAAAACACTAACTTGCAACTATGCCATATTACTGTACTGCACCTTAAAATGTTTCTGCAGAGGATCCACATGAAAATAGAAGTTTCTTATACACTGGTTTTCCCATAAACCATCATTCATCATCACTGTAGTACAAACTTTCAACAAACTTAGCACGACAAGCATCACAGACAAATCCAGTTGATCCTGAAGTAAAACGAGAGTTCTCCTCGGCGTGCCGCTTACAATACGGCTTGTTACAGAAACTACACTTGGGAAGATGAAGCCAACAATTAGAGCACAAATCATCTCCACAAACAGCTTCTTCAATCTCTCCAAAAGCATCAAAACACCCACCACATTCTGCGCACCTTGGAATGCAAAGGCTGCAGCCTCTACATTCCATCCCAGTGGACCCCTCTTTCTTAAACTGACAGCTCTTTCTTGGGCAGTCAAAGACCATTCTCGGTTCATCGCATCTTGGGCAGATTTGTACGTCTATCGGCGGCAGGTCTATGTGGTGTCTGAGTCTTAAGAAGTTTGTGTTTCCATGAGATGGGAAAGACATTGGTCTATGTTCTGAAGCGGGAATTTGAAGATAAGAGTGAAGTGTTTCAAGGTGGTGTTTTTGTACGTTGTAGACGCCATTAATCCATAGGCTTTTCAAGGTGTGGCCTTGTTGGGATAATGTCTTCACAGCTCTTATTACTCCCTCTGGCGTCAAGCCTGTGCATCCTGGTATTAATAGCTGAATCAATAATAAGAAAAAATAAAAAGTTAGTTCTAAAATAAGACGGTAAAAAAATAAATATACCATAATAATCTAGTTTGTAAAGTGAAAGTGTAATGAAATCCTTAAAACATGATCAAACTAGACAATAAACTAAATTTAGAACATTACAAGCCATCATAAAAATACAGTCTAAGGACAAAGTTTAATGAAAACTAACAATAAAGTCTCCATCATTAATCAACATTACTTTAAGGTATAATTGTACATTTGTATAACAAAATTTTTACATGTATACGTTGTTTGGCTTTTGTGGTTTGAAAAATCCTCAAACTGCAAATCAATCCAAAAGAAATTTTTATAGTTTAGAATATCGTCCGTCTAATACATAAATACATGAAAAGAAACGTCCCAACCATTCATATCTTATCCACTTAATCTAATAGCTACACCACTAACCACTAACTATCTTCCTAAAGAGTTCCCGAAAAGAAAAACAGTCTTAAAGAAATAATGTCTAAAAAACAAAAAATTTAAATCCCCTGCAAGCAAATAAGCTCTGAATTGTCCAGCAAATACATACATACATATATAAAGCTTTGAATAGGAACTAACCCGAAAAATAACGAAAATTCATACCTTGTTAATGCAAGGGTTTTGCTGTACAACCCATTGAAGCCCATCATCAGTAATGTGGGAGCAGTTAAACAGAGCCAGAGTTCTGAGCTTCCCTTTGGCCATGGCAGCGATTTGCATCAAATTCCCATCACACAATCGCTTGTTGAGAGGCCTTTCGACGACGATGTTCAGCCACGGAAGAATGTCGTTTTTCACCGAATCTCTCAGCGACGAGCAAACCTCGCTCATGGCTAAAAGCTCCAGCACTGGAAGGTAAGCCATGGCGAGGAACAGAGCCTCGTTAGGAGGGCCTGGCGTGTTCTGCGAGGCGGACTTGTCAATGGTTTCGGTTATTTGGTGTGCTTCGGTTTGTGAAATCTCCATGAATGCTTTTGGTGGAGAGAGAGTTGTGAAGCTGAGCGTGATTTGGGAGGTGATTTTGGTGTGATGTGAAGAGCTAAAAAATGCTAAAATGCAAGTTCTAGCTACGTCGGCAGGAGAAAATATTTCCAAGCAATTTGGGGCTTATTCTTTTAAAGTTTAATTTGAGTATAATTCTCGAATTAAATTTGAATTATAACTTGAGTTTGTGTTTAGTTGTGTACAACATGAATAAAGTTTGAGATAAGAATCTTTTTGAGTTTGTGTTTGAGTGAGTTAAAACTTGAATTTGTATTTAGATAGTATTTTAATAAAAACTCAATGCTGATAAAAAATTTTAATAGGGTATATGGGTCGGGTTTTATTCGTCTTTTCGTTGTCAACGCATAGAAAAAAATCATCTCAATCAGAATTAAAACGAATAAGTTATAGCATTTTTAAGAATAGAAAAAAGACTATTCATTAATTTGAGTTCGAGTTTCTGAACTCGAGTTGAAAGGGAAACTTGAACTCGAGGTTTAGTCCTAAACTCGAGTTTGAACTCGAGTTTAAACTCGAGTTTAATTTAAAAGAACATGAACTTGAATAAAATTATAACTCGAGTTGTCTTTTTTTAAGTTTTTCACTCAAAAGAACAAGTCTTAGGGCTTGTTCTTTTGGAGTTTAACTTGAGTATAATTCTTGAGTTGAATTTGAGTTATAACTTGAGTTGAACTTGTAACTTGAGTTTGTGTTTGGTTGTGTACATTTGAGTTATGGTTTGAGATAAGAATCTTTTTGAGTGAGTCAAAACTTGAATTTGTATTTAGATAGTATTTTAATAAAAACTCAATGCTGATAAAAAATTTTAATAGGGTATATAGGTCGGGTTTTATTCGTCTTTTCGTTGTCAACGCATAGGAAAAAAAACCATCTAAATCAGAATTAAAACGAAAAAGTTATAGCATTTTTAAGAATAAAAAAAATATTGTTCATTAATTTGAGTTCGAGTTTCTGAACTCGAGTTGAAAGGGAAACTTGAACTCGAGTTTTAGTCATAAACTTGAGTTTGAACTCGAGTTTAAACTCGAGTTTAAATTTAAAAGAACATGAACTCGAATAAAGTTAAAACTTAAGTTGTTTTTTTTTAAATTTTTCACTCAAAAGAACAAGTCCTTAGTTTCTTAATTTATACGCAACTGAATTGCCAATAGCCGGAAAAAAAAAAAAACATCAGGCCGTCACATCCGTTAAGAAGAGGAAAAGTTGGTCTTTTTTTTATAAGCATAAAAAAAAAAAAAACAAGTTGGCCTTTGACCCGTTTACTTATAGCCCGTTTGGTTCATGAATTAAAACCATGTGATTAGAATTATTTTTGATTTACGTGTATTTTTTATGAGAGAAAATACTGTAGCGAACCACGAATCATGATTCGAATCAGGAAACGAATCCCTTTACATTGATTTTTGAATGAATCAGTTGTTCGTAACTTTGGGAGTAAATAGCCGTTTTTAAGGGTTTTTTTTAATACTAAAAATGTCTAGAGTTTTGTAAAATTAGGAAAATGATTAACTAATTTTAGTTTATTATTGATTAATTTAGTGACTTATTATTATGAACTTGATAATTTGTCATTGACATGAATTATTAGAGAGAAACAGTTATTTTTTTTTAAAGTCGGCCATTTATTAAAAAATTGTGTCAAAAAATGGTAATTTACCTAATTTTCTCAATTGTGTGTAACTGTGAATTACTTTCTATCTTTAACAACATGTTATAGAGTACTTTCATTTTATTTACATTTTTTGTTGCTCTGAAAATGAGCGTATTGGTAAATAAAATTCAAATTTAGAAGTAAAGCTTCTCATGCATGTGACATGACTGTCACTTAAAATTCTAGTCTCTTGCGACGAACAAGTTGACTTAAGCTTCGTTCACTTCGTGGATTCGAATTTTCAATTCGAGCTGAGATGTGATATTTTCTGAGAGCTTTTTACTGTAGCAGAAAAAGTTAGATGTGACATTTTCTGAGAGCTTTTTACTGTAGAAATCTAAAACTAAAAACTCGAATCGGTGAAATGAACAAGGCATAGTGTTTACGAGTGGATTTTTGTTTAAATTTTAAAAAACGTAAATGTTGGGGTGCTCAGCAACAATTCGTTAAACTCATTAGATAATTTATCAAAATTAAAATTTAAAGTAATTGAACAATCGTGAAAAATTTAGGAACTGACATGTCAAATATCTAAAAAATTACAGAGTATGAACGGTAGTTATCAAGATTGATTTTTCAAAGTGGTCACAAACTGGTGAGTAATAAACGAGAAACAAACAGATGTTTTGTAAACGTTTCAGTTTATAATCTTACAAATAAAATGGTATTTGAGATCTGTAAAGAGTCACAATCAAACAGACAAGCATAGAAACGACATTTGTTTTGTAGACACTATGAATTAATGTTCCAAAGGCTCAACGGCAGTTTTGAAAAGCAGGATATAGACCTTGTCAATTGAAAAATACAAGAAGCCTCCTAGAGAATGTGTAACGTATGAACCAAAGCTTGTTCCCACAATGCAGTGCCAAGCTGGACCATACGTTGAATCAAATTCCTGTCAAGCCAGAAAAAAAAAATCTCATTGTGAATCTCCTCCAGTATGCATAAACAATAAAATAGAAATCAAATCGAGTACACTTATTACTTTAGAATAACTACCAAAAAATTTGAATAGAAATTTAAATTTTATGAGCGAAAATACTCTAACAAAAAGTTTGAACCATGATTCATACCTGTAAACAACACCTAAGTTAATTAAGCCTAAATGTGAGTTCAGAAAACACAACAAATACCAAACTGGCTTGGTTTTCATACCAGTTTTGAGAAACTGGGTTGTTCTTTTGGAGTGTAACTTGAGTGTAGTTTTTGAGTTGAATTTGAGTTATAACTTGAGTTTAAAGTTGTAACTTAAATAAAGTTAAATAAAATTAGAACTTAAAAGAACGTGAACTTGAATAAAGTTGTAACTTGAGTTTAAACTTTTTTTGAATTTTGTTGTAAAAGAACAACCCTCCAGCTTAAAGCTTCTTTGCCAGCAACAGCAGCGAAATCGGAAAATTTTCAAGAAGCACAACAATACCAAACTGGATTGATCAAGCAACTTCATGTAGAGAATACTTCCAAGTTCCAAAAGACCTCAAAATAGGGTGGGTAGAGTTGACTCAACTATTCTCCATACCCTCTTGCTCTCTAAATCTTCAGTAAATAATGGTCTTCTCAGAAAGTCGCAGAATAAGTATCAGGAAAAGACTTTGTCAAAATTCTTTTTTACATTATATTAGCCAGAAATTTCCATGACTTGTTGACTGTTGCATCATACACGGGCACAATCTAAATGCATTCGAAACTAAAAGAACTAAAAACATTTGTAATTGTTACCATACTCAGTTAAGTTGATGGGTCTAATGCTAGGCTTCACAAATTATTGCATTTCCTCTGCCATCTACCACTTTAAATGACGAAATCAATACACTTGCATACCAATTAAAGTTAATCAAAGGAAAAGTCAATAAAGTATTTCCAAAACCTTTATTAGACCCACAAATTTTTATCATATAAACTGCTTCTGTTTGATAGATGTGCCTAGTGAGCCAAACAAGCTTGTTAAATAAGTGGGACAATCAGTAGACATTTTGCTTGGACTTCAATATCCTTCAAAGACTACTTCGTTTGAGATATATTTGAAATTCGTTCGCTACTTTACACCCTTCATGAAACAAGAAAAGTCTTGGGGTGAAAAAAAAAAAAAAAAATCAGATGCTGGTTTATTTGTATGGAGCAACAGAGCCACTTTGTTTCTAACAAGTGGGCTAAATTTACTACAAGTTTCACTGATAGAGGTATGGATTAAATACAAGCTTCACTAATCCTAAACAGGAAAATGAAAACCAATTTAAACCATGTAAATGGTGAACCAAGTAGCATGAATTATATTTGGAAAAATTCTGAGTATTTTATCAAGTTTTAGTGGAGTATCTTCGGTATCAAAGATTTGGGATTTACCAATTTTGTTTGGCTTTCTTTTGAACATGAAATCTAATTGGCTACTCTTTTCTTTTCTTTTGAAGTTTCTCCGATAGTAACAACCTTCAAAGAAAGAAGTGAACCCCGGATAGAATTTCACTCTCAATTGAATTTTTAGATCAATTTCAGCTTAAATTAATTCAAGTTGAGATGTGACTTTATGTGAGTATTTTTTACTGTAATAAAAAAGTTAAATGTGACTATTTTTAAGAGCTTTTTACTATAGCAAAACTCGAATCGGTGAAATGAACATATGATAACTTTGACATATCTTGATCTAACAAAATAAAGATCACTTGGAGGAGGAGTTTTTTATATCCAGCTAAGTGCGACTCTGTGAAATGAAATAATTACAGTAATTGGAACGATGTTGAACCTGATCGAGACCCTTATTTTTGTAAATCCGTTTTATTAATCAATCTATACCAAAAAAAAAAAGGTGATAAATTCCATGCTTCAATCTTGTAAACAACATTACTGTCGTTGAAAACAATCAAAACTAGGAAGAAAATAAGCAACAATGTAATAACAAAAGTGTCATTCACCAAATTTAGGGGAAAAAAAAACTACAAATAATTTTATTGATATTAAAGAAAAAAGAAAAACCCCAACTGAGAAAGACAAGAAAATAGAAACTCGGCCTGACATAACCCAGAAAAAAAAAATCCATCCCAGAAATACTTGAAAATCTTGTTGAGGAAAAAAAGAAAAGAAAAGAAAGATCAATTTTGAGCATTTCCTGTAAATACCGTAAATAACCTGCTTTGCCATATACAAGTGTACCTACATGTATTTATATGTATATAATCTATAATACAAGAAAGACCGAAACTGGATCATCACCAAACACTCCATTTTCTATTCCATCAAAACCCATAAAAGATTCAATAATCTAATAAAAATGAACGCACTCAAAAAGACAAAAGAACAAAAAAGTTTTCGTTTTTATTTTCAGTTTTTACCTTCTTAAGAGCGAGAGCGAGGCGTTTACTGTCGAGCTTGCCGGGCATGGAGTCGAGGTGATCGCGGGCGCATCGGAAAGCGCGGCTCTGCAAAGGGACAGGCATGTCGGAAGCCCTCACTCGGACGTTGAGGCTCTCATTTTGCGTTTTCTGCTCCGTCGCTTTCTTCTTCTCTATCAAACTATGTAGAAACTTGCTTCTTCTCTCTAGCTCTTCTTCTGCTCCCTCCATTACTCTCTGCTCTCATGTGATCACTCCAAAACACACACACACACACACTCTCTCTCTCTCTATCTCTCTCGTTTTCTCAGTTGATGTTTCTGCTTGCGACAGTGATTTTGTCCTCCATAGGTTCAGAGAAAGTCCGAGCAGAAAAAGAAAAAAGGAAAAAGAAAAGAGAGATAGAGAGAGAAAGTGAAAGGAAAAGAAAAGAAAACTGTAGAGAGACAAGAGTCTCGATCGTAATGTGTAATGTATTTTTGTGTGTCATTGGGCGTAGAAGTCTGTTTTTCTTCCTTTCTTTTTGTTGTTGTTGGGTTGGTTGGTGTGTTTTCTTTTGATGCGTTTGTTGTTTGTTGCGTATGGACGAGGTCGTTGTTGGCCTAAAATTAAAAGTAATATACATAGAGAGAGAGAAGAGAGAGAAGAGAGAGAGAGAAGGACAGAGTTTGGATTGCGTCAATTCCTTTGAGATCTACCGACCAATACCATTTTAATTAGAGGAATTCCGCAAATGCTTGTTGATCAATTATAATAAAAGTAAATTGTCACGTCAGGTGAGACGTTTAATTTATGAATTAGAATAATAAAATTAAAATTATTTTTAATTTACGTGTATTTTTTATGAGAAAAAATACTATAGCGAATCATGAATTATAATTCGAATCAGGGTACGAATCCCTTTACTAAACACACCATAACTTGATAAGTGTACTGTGTTAGTATTGTTTTCCTTTATTAAGAAATGAAGACTTAGACGCGTTAACGTTCAAGGTAAATAGAATTACCATCACCTTAAGCCCGACTGCTCATATGTTATGCGCCAGATATGACATGAGTGAAAACTGAGTTGGTCATTCTAATAGAATTTAAGATATGTTCATTTGCACAATTTAAGTTATATATGAAAAAAAAATATTGTAATAAAAAAGTTACTTTTGAATTTATATGAGAGAAAACACCGTAGTAATATGACTTGAGTTATAAAATAAACAAGGCCTTAGTTAGGTGCTTTTCTTTTTATTAGTGGGTTCTGATACTTTTGAAGCGGTGAAAGAAACAGACGAAAAGGTTGACACCAATAATATTTTTTTAATAAAAGATTTAAATTAGACAAAGCTTATAAAGTGAGTGTAGCAATGATGTTTAAAAATAATCCTCTGACTGTATCCAATATCATACATGCATCATTCTATTTAAATCTCTTATGAAATTTTACAATAGGTGCTCCCATGGTGAATCTTCTATTTACCTTGAGTTTTTTAAGAAAAATTATCAATTTCATGAAAAAGAAGTTGTAATGTTATTTGAGTTTGTTAGTTGATGTATGTCATTGATTTGTATAAGATTCATATGGATCTCAAAAGTGCAAATCAACATAGCTACAAGTAGAGACTAAACACCCATTGTTTTGACCACAATTTAAATCCTTTTTTTTATGCAGGGTTCTATCTTATATAAATTTAAATTTATATGTTCAAACCAATAAATCAAACGTGGCTATAAGTCTCAACTATGATATGTGTAGTGTTAAAACTTCTATTTTCAGTGAGTTGCACATGCAGCTTGTGAAATTCCTAGAACAGAAAAGATTCTTTTTGTTTTTCATGAAGAATGATGCTTATTGTTAGACCAGACGAACTAATAATTAGCGTTTTGTGCGCACAGAACACCTTATTCAAGCCTGTCTAAATAGAAACCAAAAATTACTGTGTAATTGAAAATTACAGAATAATAAATGACACATCAATATGGTTATTTAACGTAGCTAAAAACCCTTTAAAAAAAACCACGTGTACTGAACACACCAGCAAAAAGAAGAAATCCACTATCACCAAAACAGTTACAAAGTTTGGATTTACAAGAAACCTTTGAATCTATACCAACTCCTAACTTGTGACGACTCCTTAACTTGCCTTTAGACTCCTCGTTTTACTCCGAGTCTTCTACTCGCCTTTGGTCCTCCTAACCTACTCCAAGCTCGATGCCCGCCTTCAGTCCTCCAGACTTAATCTGAGCTCCACGATCCGCCTTCGGCTCCTCCTCGGACCTACTATGGGTCCTCACAAAGTCCGTAGACTAACAGGGTTTAAGAGTTACAAAGAAAGTCTTAGAATAGCTAAGGATATCTCTCACTTTTTAAGCACAAAAAAAAAAAA